GTGGGCGGGCCTCAGAGAGAACATTGGCTGGGTGGTGTTCCCTTGACCCCAGAGCCACAACAACCCAGCAAGCCAGCTATTTGCAGACTGGCAATGGTCTGCAGGCTGGCAGTTGGGAACTGATCAAGGACCTCTCCCCACAGTTAGGGAAACCAATGGTGGCAAAGCCCCCACCCGCCTTAAAGTCATGATGTTACTGATGGCCATGGCTACTTGTATGATAATAGCTCTGACTGTAGATTTCCCCACCCCAAACTCATTCCTGACTGAAAGGTAGTTTTCTGGCATGGCCAGCTTCCAGCAGGCTGGCAGTTGGGAACTGATCAAGGACCTCTCCCCACAGTTAGGGAAACCAATGGTGGCAAAGCCCCCACCCGCCTTAAAGTCATGATGTTACTGATGGCCATGGCTACTTGTATGATAATAGCTCTGACTGTAGATTTCCCCACCCCAAACTCATTCCTGACTGAAAGGTAGTTTTCTGGCATGGCCAGCTTCCACACAGCAACTGCCATGCACTTCTGCATGGTCATATGGGTATCCTGGCACCTCAGGGCAGGGGCAAGCCATTCAGAGAGTTCCAGGAACATGGCCTTGCACATGCAGACATTCTGCAGCCATTGCTGATCATCCCATCTCTACATCATGATGCAGTCCCACCAGTCTAAGCTCATCTCCCACTGCCAGAACCAGAATTGCACTGTGTCCAAAGGATTGACTGCTGGCTGCACTAGCATAAGTGCCAGGGCTTGCCTGAGCAGGGCCTCTGTGCCACATCGAGCTTCATCATTGTCCTCTTCCTGATGGAGCAATACGCGTAGGTTCTCATAGGATAGTGCCATGAAGCACACCATGACATCCATGAGCATGACAATGCTTTCCAGTATCCTGGACTGTATGATCACAGTGCTCTGGTGTCCATGTGGGCAACCAGAGCACCAAAAGGTGAAATTACACTGCATCTCCTTTATCTCGCACAAGGGGGAAAGACTGGAGGAGTGCTTTATGGAATGCAAGCAACATGAGCCCCTCTAACCACCTGTTGCCAAGTTTTGGATCCAACAGACACTGGAATCACAGTCCAGACTGCCAACCAATCCACAGTGCATCCCTCTCTAGCAGTAAACTTTGTAATGTGGATGCACTATTTCAGACATTTGATTCTTGTCCATAGTGAAGACACAAACGTTTTGTCTTCTCAAAATTGGGTGCCCAGATATCAGCTATGTTAGAGTTGACCTTATCTTGTAGTGTAGATGTGCCCCTAGACATGGCACTTAGCAGGTCACTGACAAAATGTAGTCCAGTGAAACAGCGGAACACTTTTTCCTTTCTCCCTCTGGAGGTGAGGGATGGTAAAATGAATATTAAAATCAACATCACTTAACTCTTCAGAAAATTCCTAACTATTAAAATGAACAAAAATCAGGAGACATCTTCAGAAGAAACTTACCTTAGCAATTGTCTCCTGCTTTAGAATTCACTTTCCTTGGGGCACATACCTGTCTTACACCTCATAGTTACAGTCTTGTTAATCCTTTAAATTTTCTCAATTTTTTGTTAAATTGTGGTCTAGTCTCAAACCTAGTGTTTCTATATGAGCATTCTTTATTCCGTTACATTATAAAGTGTGACCATTTGTGAAACAGACCTTAATATTTAACAAAATCCTCCCTTTTATAGTTATATTCTTTGCACAGAAATAGAAGAGTTTATTCAGTGTAAAACTTTTTAAGCCATTATGTAGATTTCTACTTATTATAGTCATGCACTCTTATTTAACAATGTTATTTCTTTGGTGAATACTTTATGTAAAGGAACATTTGATTTTTAGAAGAACGTAAAAAAATTATCAGGAAACTTATCACCTGATTGCTCTTACCTCACGTATGACTGAGCTCCCTCATAATAAAGCAGCTGTGATATTAACTTACTTTTTACCAAATAATTACCAAATAATGGGTTGATTTCCACAAGTACTGGAATCAGTTCTCAAGACCTTTGAAAATCAAATAATAAAGAATTATATATAGTGCCATTGCTGAGTTTTTTGGCTTATACTTTCAGCCATAGAGAAACATGTTTACAGTGTTCAAATAGACTGGCAATGACAATGAGAATTTTTAAAAAACAAATCAACAGCACTTTCATAATTATATTTCTGTAATTTGGATTTACATTTTTTCTGTAATATTGTATATTTTCTGTAATATTGTATTATGTAATACACAAAGAACAAGTTAAAAATCACTTAGGAAAGTTAGATGTCAGCAAGTCACCAGGTCCTGATGAAATGCATCCCAGGATACTCAAGGAGCTGATAGAGGAGGTATCTGAGCCTTTAGCTATGATCTTTGAAAAATCATGGCAGACAGGGGAGATTCCAGAAGACTGGAAAAGGGCAAATATTGTGCCCATCTATAAAAAGGGGAATAAGAACAACCCAGGAAACTACAGACCAGTCAGTTTAACGTCTGTCCCAGGGAAGATAATGGAGCAGGTAATTAAGGAAATCATATGCAAACACTTGGAAGGTAATAAAGTGATAGGGAATAGCCAGCATGGGTTTATGAAGAACAAGTCATGCCAAACTAATCAGATAGCTTTCTTTGATAGGATAACGAGCCTTGTGGATAAGGGAGAAGCGGTGGATGTCATATACCTAGACTTTAGTAAGGCATTTGATACGGTCTCGCATGATATTCTTATTGATAAACTAGGCAAATATAACTTAGATAGGGCCACGATAAGGTGGGTGCATAATTGGCTGGATAACCGTAGTCAGAGAGTTGTTGTTAACGGTGCTAAATCCTGCTGGAAAGGGATAACAAGTGGAGTTCCTCAAGGGTCTGTTTTGGGACCCATACTGTTCAATATCTTCATCAATGATGTAGATATTGGGATAGAGAGTACGCTTATTAAGTTTGCAGATGATACCAAACTGGGTGGGGTTGCAACTTCTTTGGAGGATAGGGACATAATTCAAAATGACCTTAGCAAGTTAGAGAAATGGTCAGAGGTAAACAGGATGAGGTTTAATAAAGAGAAATGCAAAGTGCTCCACTTAGGAAGGAACAATCAGTTCCATACATACAAGATGGGAAGCGACTGTCTAGGAAGGAGCATGGCAGAAAGGGATCTAGGGGTCATAGTGGACCACAAGTTGAATATGAGTCAACAGTGTGATGCTGTTGCAAAAAAAGCAAATATGATTCTAGGTTGTATCAACAGGTGTGTTGTAAGCAAAACTCGTGAAGTCATTCTGCCGCTCTACTCTGCACTAGTTAGGCCTCAGCTGGAGTACTGTGTCCAGTTCTGGGCGCCACATTTCAAGAAAGATGTGGAGAAATTGGAAAGGGTACAGAGAAGAGCAACAAGAATGATTAAAGGTCTAGAGAACATGACCTATGAAGCCAGGCTTCATGAACTGGGCTTGTTTAGTTTGGAAAAAAGAAGATTAAGGGGGGACATGATAGCGGTTTTCAAATATCTAAAAGGGTGTCACAAGGAGGAAGGAGAAAATTTGTTCCTCTTGGTTTCTGAGGACAGGACAAGGAGTAATGGGCTTAAAGTGCAGCAGGGGAGGTTTAGATTGGACATTAGGAAAAAATTCCTAACTGTCAGGGTGGTCAAATATTGGAATAAATTGCCAAGGGAGGTGGTGGAATCTCCCTCTCTGGAGATATTTAAGAACAGGTTAGATAGACATCTGTCAGGGATGGTGTAGACGGAGCTTGGTCCTGCCTTGAGGGCGGGGGGCTGGACTCGATGACCTCTTGAGGTCCCTTCCAGTCCTATGATTCTATGACAGTGAAACTGACTAATCTGGTTTTACTAATCAGACTAAATGACATGTAAAAGATAATAACATAAATAGTTTAAAAATACATGGTAGGTTATTTACCTTTTTCATTTGTATTGTGTTGTTAATAACTGGATTTGTTCCATAAGAAAATACTGTTAACCTCGGTATCAAATTAAACTTCACGTTTGGCCAGAAAGAGCACTGTGTGTCAGCATATCATTTCTGAATGGACATCAGAACTAGCAGCTAGGTTGACGGCCACACAGACCATCAATTACTAGCTCTCTTCCTGGAAATATGCAAGAAACAAGGCCCAGAGCTGACCAATTCTCCAGAGGAGCAATTACTACTTAATAAGCTTCCTGAGCCTGTTTATGTTCCCTGCTAGCTAAGGTCTCACTGACCACGGGGTAATAATTTGATAACAAGAGATCTTGATTAAATTAAGAGGCCATTTGCTAGACACATAATGTCTTTGTAAATAAGAAATTTGATTTGCAGTAGATGCTCTTGCTTCTCCATGCTGCATACATTTGTCTGTTGTTTAAAAGCCAAATAACCCATGCCTTTTAAATAGGATTATTAGTAACCCATTCACTGATACTAGCCTGATATCTTCACATTTTTTCTGTTATTTAAAAACAAAACAGTCTCTCTCTCTCTCTCTCTCTCTCTCTCTCTGGGACAGAGATTCTGTGGTATGGATGAGTGAAGTGCAATATGTAGAGAACTGGACTGGGGATATTGCAAAAGTAAGCCTACCTTCATCCATCCCTTTTGATAATAGAGCCTAACAAAATCTACAGGCATCCATCCTGTCATGTCATGTTTATCTTGAGCTTCCCCAGTTCCACTCTAATAACGTCCTCCTCTTTTAATGGTCTGTCTGTGAGAAGGCTGTTAAGAACAGAAAACTATACAAAAAGCAGAATATGCACAACAAAATAGCCAGAAATACAGAAAACTATCTGATGGAATAAAACGAGAAAAAAGTTGCATTGAAGAAAACACAGTATTAGGTGACATAACAGGGTAAGAGCGTTTCACGCATTTTAAAATATACAATATATTGTTCAAATCAGAAGTGCCAACGTTGGATTGTTCTTTACTATTGTGCTGTCAGCACAGAGAAAGCAAAGGGTCTATGTCATATATAATAATTCGTCTCTGACCACACCTAGTCCATTAGTACTGGTGCAGGCTGTAAATACAACCTCATTACTCCTGACTCTATGGATTAGCAGACCAGAAGGGGATCAAACTACATCACCAACCTTTTAGAAGCCAGAAATTCAAGAGAAAGCTGCAGAATAAAAGCAGATTGAAACTTTAAGAAGTAAATACAATCATCTATCCCACGGTAAGAAGGTTATTTATCTCTTTGTCAGTATATGCTTTATTCTGTAATGAAACGCATGTAAAACATTAAGTAACTTCCGTACTCTGAAAAACTACATTGAAGAGATTTTTTTTAAATTGCAGTATTTTCTGTAACACTTTACTATACCTGAACATAGCAAGGTGGAGTTAAAAAAAACATTAATACAAAGAAAAGTTAAAGCAATTGTTTAGATTTCACTGTGAGTTTCTAATTAATCAATTCCTTTATTAAATGGTAGAATGGAATTCAGTTTGCTCTGACTGACAGTATACTGTTTGTAAGAAAAATAATCCTTTCAGGTTAGCATTATTCTGAACCTAATCTCATTTTCCTTTTGGTCATGCATACAAAAGTACAAATATTTTTGATTTGATAATTTTCTGATGAAGCAATAAATATGCATCTAAAGACAGGGGTACACATCTGTCTTTTCAGCTTCAAAGCCTAAATAGCATAAAACTACTGTGCATGTGTTAAGGTTTTACACAAAATTCATGGACTGGGCAACTCCTTGGGAAATGAACAATTATACATATATATTTAACTGGGGAGGAAAGAAGTTTTAAAAAAATCTTATTCTTTCCCCTTTTAAAAAAAAGTTATGTTTACAGAAGTTAGGAAGCTTTCAGATTTAATCCCACATCTCCTGATCTGAATCAAAAAGCTTGCTCTCTGCCTATCCATTAGAAGCAATTATAACATTAAATATTTACTGTGGCTTCTCTGGAGGAACTGACCACTTTCAATAGAGCATTTTGTTGGTACTAATGTGCCATCAGCAAATGCTCTAAATGCGAAGCTTGCCTGCCAAATATCAATTGACAGAAGAGAATAATTCCAGGTACTGGCTGAAACCTCGGCTGCCTGCCTCTGCCCTACTCCACCCCTCTATATTTTAACCTTGCTTAGTTCTCCCTCAACTCTACTACCACCTGCAAGTCCTGACCTGGTTTGAGATCTACCCTGTAATCCCTTTCAGCACTACACATCCTGGAAACTCTGAAAAAGACTTTCCAAATACACAAATACTATTCTGCCTGACACACTCCCCTGGCAATTAAAAAGCTTCTAACAAACCTCAGTGTTCATGGACTTTGTCTATACACCGCCCCATAAATTACCTGAATCCAGATTTTTCTACATGCAATTAGCAGGCTCCCCTTTTACATCCAATTTGTTCAGAAGGGCTCATCCTGCCCCTTTGTTTCTCTTCTTTTCAGAAAAGGATACTTTAGTGGGGAGCGGAGCGTGAGACAACTGCAAAAATCGCATCTGGCTTGGGGTGCTTGGAAGAACCATGCAGGAGTCCTTTGCTGTCCACTTCCTAAAAGTGCTGAAGGAGCTGCTGGCCTTCGTGCTGTTCAGTTACACCGTGCTGATCGGGGCACTGCTGCTGGCTGGCTGGACAACTTACTTTTTGGTGCTTAAGTGACAGCTCCTCTATATCCCCTCTGGCCACAGACTAGACCAGAATGTGAAACTGTCACTACCAAAGTACCTTGCAGCTGGCATTTGCTCAACAAACAGAATATCAATTTTTTGGCACCAGAAACTTCCAAATCTTTGTTTTATTATTGGCTAACTATAATCTTATTTTCTTATGTAAAACAAAAAAATTATTAAAAACACCTTGCTGATCGCCAATGGCTCTTCCAAACTTCATCTTTGGGATCAATCCTATCCCTTGCATCAGAAAAATTGTTGGCAGTTCTGTCCATGATCAATCTTCTCTTGAGAATAACACTTTGTTGAGAGTGGTGGATAGAAGGGAGGGAGAAAGCCCAGAAGTGGTGTAGAACCATTAGAGTGTGAGCTGTCCTCTGAGGAATCAAGTTCAGACATGTCTGCTTCAATCAGCCTGGTTATGGACATGAAAGGAGAAATACTTTTTATTTCTGATCCTCTTATTTCCTGTCTTTTCCGCAAATCAGCATAATCGATATGTCTCCTTTCTTTTTATTTCCATATTTTTATCTGACAGAATCTAGTGTGGAGTTAAGTTTCCCAGCCTTTCCTGCTGGAACATGATACTAGCATATTTGGAGGAGTTGAACCCAACAAGGCAATAGTTTTACTGGGACCATGCTGTATAAGAAAGCACTAAAAATGTTGTACGTCACTAACTTGCTCTGGGAGAGGGGGAATAAAGTGACCTGCTAGGACTTTCTACAGGTCAGAATTGTTCATCTTAAAACAGTGGTAAGTCTAAAGAGTGGTAACTTTTAAAACAACATTGCTCCACTGAAATCAGTGTAATCAAACCTTAAATCTCAAACATGCTGAAAATGTACACTTTCACAAAATCCTTTTATTTTCTTATGCCTTTATTAATCAGATAAAACATGTAAAAAGGACAAGTGTCAATGGAGGTTTGTTAAAATAATTTTATGATTTTAAGAAAAAAATCTACCATTTAATTTTCATCGTCTACATGGTATGTCTCCAACTTCTTCTAACAAACATGTTAATAACTACAAACTATATGTTGAAAATAAGCCTACAGAATGGTTAAAAATATCACAAATAAAATGTGGGCAATTACATGGGGTTCTTCTGGACACAGTTTACTCTAATTCCAGTGTTACAAAAAACAAAGATGTTTGTTTTATTGACATCAATGTCTTGGTCCCAGGCCTGCAAATGCTTAGATTTTTTAAACTGTGAACAGCCCCACTGACTTCAAAGGGAGTCTGAAACTATTCAGAGGGCATTAACTTTAGCATGAACTTTAGTTCATAAGTCTTTGCAAGATCAGCATTCTCCTGTGCAATTGATTTCTCTTGTTTTGTGTCACAGAGCAGTCCATTGAGCTGACATTATACTAAAGAAATCTGCTTTTAGCTCATTCAAGCCTGTTTTTATGCCACTTAAAATGTATTTCTGTACAAAAATGCTAGAAAAGTTAAAGTGAATAAAAGAAAATGTCATTTGAATTAAAGAAATTACTCCTACCATACATCTATTTCACAGTCTTTTATAATGTAAATAGAAGTCTGGATCTCTGGTCATACACTGACACTTGGCAGGTTGTGCCCAATAATTTAGAATATTTATGACAAAACAAAGAATTATTTCCCCTCAGAATGTATTTATCCACACCTTTCTAAAACAGTGATAAGTGTGGCACCTGTTGATGCACATAATAACTGAATAAAAACCAGGCCATTTTAACATAAAAAACTTGTAGAAGCCAATTGTTAGAAGCTTCTCCAGCTAATTTAGAATATTTAGCTCTTGTCTTTGATTTCAGATCATTCAAATTGTTCATTTCTGAACAACTGGCCACTTCACTCTCATGAACAAATGTAGACACTTGACTTTATAAGTAGCAAAGCAGACTCATTAAAATCTATAGGTGTGAGAGTTGGTAAAATATAGATCAAGTGTCAGAAAGGAACAAGAAAAGTTTCTCCTTGTAGAGAGTTTTAAAATGCAAAAATTCTCAAGGAGTATAGCTGTGTCTATAATGTAAGAAAATGAACACAGTTATTAGAAAGAACTCCATTAAAAATTACCAAGAAATATTCACACTAAGGGCCTGAGCGGGTAAGTCTTTATGTGGCACAGAGTTCAAGATCACTTTACTCGAGCATGTGAGTACTGAAGCTATGAATAAGCACAAGTAAGATTAAACACTAAAGCGTCATCTACACTGGCAGCTTCTTGCGCAAGTACTCTTTTGCGGAAGAGTGCTTGTGCAAAAACTCTTCCAGAAGAGAGCATCTACACTGGCATGTGCTTTTGCACAAGAGATGTGCTTTTACGCAAGAGCATCCATGCCAGTGTAGATGCTCTCTTGCGCAAGAAAGCTCTGATAGCCATTTTAACCATAGGGCTTTCTTGCACAAGAAATTCATGTTGCCTGTCTACAATAGCCTCATGCGCAAGAACAGTTGCGCAAAAGGGCTTATTCCTGAGCGGGAGCGTCAGAGTTCTGGTGCAAGAAGCCCTGATTTCATACATTAGAATGTCAGTTTACTTGCGCAAGAACAAGCGGCCAGCGTAGACAGGCAGCAAGTTTTTGCGCAAGAGCAGCTGCTTTTGCGCAAGATTGCGCCAGTGTAGACACAGCCTAAGGGCCTGAGCCAAAGACCATTAAAATCAGGAAGGGGCTCTGCATCAGATGCTAAGCATAGTCTACTGAACTGCATAAAAACAGAGTCACAGAATGGTCACATATAAGGAGAGAGACTTAAACATAATCCTCATCATTTTAGTAGAGCATTCTTACTTTCTTAGGCCACAGTCCTGCTACAAACCATGTGGTCATACAGAAAAATTCTGATTTAGGAGTACATTTTCCTGCAGGTCCTGTTACTACTTTTTAAATGTATGGACAAGAATCCATATTTGTGATACCCACTTCAAACCCTAAATTCTCTTTAAATATATGTATACTTTTACTCAGATGAGCAAGACTAAATTATTTCCCTTCTGAAAGAATGATGGCTTCTTGTTTCTACCAGCTCCTACCAAATCATTTTTATGGTATCAATACAGTTTGATGACATTTAATAAAAAAAAAAAAAAAAAAAGATCTATTTGCCAGAATAGCGAGTGGTCAGCCTATGGTGCATCTACACTGCACCGTTTTTCAAGAATAACTGCTGTTATTCCAGAAAAACAATACTAGCATCCACACAGCAACTGCATTATTTCAAAGAAAATCGAAATAATGGAGGGCTTTTTCCGATGTTGGTAAATCTTATTCCATGAAGAATAACACTTCTTCCAAAAAAGCTTTTTCAGAAGAGGATGTGTGTGGAAAATGCTGCTATGTTGAAATAGCTCCTCACCAGTGCCATTCTAAAGTTATTCCTCCCCAGTGCCTTCTGGGGCTCTAAATCAAGATAGCACGTCCACATTAGGGGAGCTTGCCACGGACTAATTTTGAGGCTTCCCTGTGGTGCAGATGCTTTATTTCGAAATAAGCTTTTCCAGAAAAGATCTTCCGGAATAGCGTTTTCCGAAATAAACTTGCAATGTAGACGTAACCCTAGACAACACAAATAGCCATTACCAAATACAACTATAAGAGAAAAAATCCAAATAAGATGACTATTTCTCAATGAGCCAATATTAAGGCAAAATGCAAAGGTAAGCTAGGCAGACTAGTAAGAGTCTAATACAACTCCAGCAAGTATTTTTAACAACTTAAAAAAATCAAAAAGGAATCCTACAAAGTGAAAACATGCACGAATCATTGAGTTCAAATAAACAGTGCAAACATGTACAGACAAAAATCAGAACTGCTAACTCACAAATTAATTACATATAGCAAGAGACATAAAAGAAGAGACTCTATAAATAGTAGGCACAAAAGAAAGACAAAGTAAAGCATAGGTCCTATACTCAGCAGAAACGAAGAGCAAATAATGATGATATCCACAAGGCTGCAAAGCTTAATGCCTCTTTTCCTTCTGTATTCATTAAAAACAAGCTGGATATTTCAATACCTGGAAAGATTCTGGAACAAATTATTAATCAATTTGTAAACACCTATAAGCTAATAAGGTTAAAAGCCAGCATGTATATAACACCAGCAAGTCATGCCAAACTAACCTTTCTGTTTTTGATTGGGACACTGGTCTAGTGGCGAAGCTGTACATGTGAGATAACTTGATTTTTTTTTAGTAAAACTTTTGACACAGTTCCACATGACTGTCTGACAAGCAAACTAGGGAAATATGGTCTAGATCGTACCTATTCAACTTTGGAAGCTAGGGATGGCAGGGGCCACACTGATTCTCACAGCACATGCAGTGCACCACAACTTAAGTGTGGTTGCATAGACATGCAAATATATATGTAAATATATGCAAACAGTTTCTTTCACACAATGCCCTGGCATTCCTTTGGTATATATGATGATAGAAATGTAGCCGTGTTAGTCTGGGGTAGTTGAAGCAAAATGCAGGACAATGTAGCACTTTAAAGACTAACAAGATGGTTTATTAGATGATGAGCTTTCGTGGGCCAGACCCACTTCCTCAGATCAAATAGTGGAAGAAAGTAGTCACAACCATATATACCAAAGGATACAATTAAAAAAAAGAACAAATATGAAAAGGACAAATCACATTGCAGAACAGAAGGAGGAGGCGGGGGGGTGGGAAGGGGGAGGAAGGAAGGTAAGTGTCTGTGAATTGATGATATTAGAGGTAGGGAGAGTGGGATGTTTGTGAGTTAATGGTATTACAGGTGATAATTGGGGAAACTGTCTTGATAATGGGTGAGAAAGTTCAAAGACTTGTTAAGTCCCTGGTGGTAAGTGTCGAATTTTAACATGAATGACAGTTCAGAGGATTCCCTTTCAAGTGCAGATGTAAAAGGTCTTTGTAGCAGAATGCAGGTGGCTAAGTCATTTAGAGAGTGTCCTTTCTGGTTAAAGTGGCAAGAAACTGTTTTCTCTTTGTGATCTTGTCTGATATCTGTTTTGTGGGCATTAATCCTTTGGCGAAGTGTCTGAGATGTTTGTCCAATGTACATAGCAGACGGACACTTTCGGCACATGATAGCGTAGATTATATTTCTGGATGCGCAGGAATATGTGTTCTTGATCTTATAACTCACTTGGTTAGGTCCAATAATGGTATCAGCAGAATGAATATGTGGACAAAGCTGGCAACGGGGTTTGTTGCAAGGGAAGGTACCAGGGTTGGTATTAGTGTGGTATGTCCTGTGGTGGTTGGTAAGAATCATCTTGAGGTTAGGTGGTTGTCTATAGGAGACTATGGGTCTGTCTCCCAGAGCCTCTTTGAGTATGGTATCCTGTTCCAATATAGGCTGTAGTTTATTGATAATGTGTTGGACAGGTTTAAGTTGGGGGTTGTAGGTGATGACAAGTGGTGTTCTATTGTTGGTTTTCTTGGGTCTGTCTTGAAGTAGATGGTTTCTAGGTATTCGTCTGGCTCTTTCAATTTGCTTTTTTGTTTCTCTGGGTGGGTAGTTGAGATTTATAAATGCTTGGTAGAGATCCTGAAGCTTCTGGTCTCTGTCAGTGGGGTTAGAGCAGATGCGGTTGTATCGAAGGGCTTGGCTATAGACGATGGATCGTGTGGTGTGTTCTGGATGGGAGCTGGATGCATGTAGGTAACTGTATGAGTCAGTGGGTTTTCTGTAGAGAGTGGTGTCTAATTTTCCATTGTTGATTTGTACGGTGGTGTCCAGGAAGTGGATCTCTCGTGTAGAATGGTCCAGGCTGAGGTTGATGGTGGGGTGTAGGTTGTTGAAATCTCTGTGGAATATCTCCAGTGTTTCTTGGCCATGTGTCCAGATCATAAAGATGTCATCGATGTACCGTAGGTAGAGGAGGGGTGAAAGGGGACGGGAGTTGAGGAAACGTTGTTCTAGGTCAGCCATAAAGATGTTAGCATACTGTGGGGCCATGCGTGTACCCATGGCTGTGCCGCTGATCTGGAGGTATAAGTTGTTCTCAAACCGGAAATAATTGTGGGTGAGAACAAAGTTACATAGGTCTGCTATCAGGTTGGCAGTAGTGTCCTCTGGGATAGTGTTTCTAATTGCTTGTAATCCGTCTTCATGTGGGATGTTGGTATATAGAGCTTCTACATCCATGGTGGCAAGGATGGTATTATTGGGGAGGTTATCGATGTTTTGTAGTTTCCTTAGGAAGTCAGTAGTGTCTCGGAGATAGCTGGGGGTATTGGTTACGAAGGGTTTGAGAAGAGTGTCTACATAGCTGGATAGACCAGTAGTGAGCGTGCCAATACCAGAGATGATGGGACGTCCGGGGTGCCCAGGTTTATGGATCTTGGGAAGTAGATAGAACAATCCTGGTATGGAGACCCCCTTCAAGTCAGGGGATGCTGCAGCACCTCCCCCTTCCCCTTTACGCACCAGCAATAAAATTAAAGGGTTATGTGCAAGGTCTCATCTCTGGGACTCTCCCATTTTGAATGTGCAGCTCATTACTGGGGCTACAAAGGATGGTGTCAACTCAACTTTGGTCTGCTCCATTTTTTGCAATATTCCTTTACAAGTTCGAAAATAAAATTAATTTACACATCCTGTGCCCCTGCAGAACTTACTCTCTTAGTGCATGTATCAAGTCTGGCATTTGGTGTAAAACAAATGAACATCTGTTTCTGAGATTCTCTTGTCAGCCTTTTAAAGGGATACTTTTCAGGTTTCAAGTAATTAGGTTCCTTATTTGCTTTACTTAATACCATGGATCATCAAACACTTGTATGTACTTAACCATAAGCACATGAGCTGTCCTATCTAGGTGAAAATATGAAAAGTATTCATTTTAATATTTCTCAATTGTCACTGTTTATACATTTTTATAGTTTTGGTTTACATAATGAAATAAGGTTAGTCTCAGGTTTTGGTTCCCATGAACTAATTCAATATTTGAGTTGTAAATAGTACTGGAGAATGTTTAAATTTAAAACAATTTTTGTTTGGAAAATAGAGTAATAAAATCACTTCTTTAGTCATTCAAGTTTAGGGCTAAATTATCTTACCATGCCCCTTTAAGTCTGTAAAGTGCTAAAGCGGTTAATGTGAATGAGGGATGTAATAGTGTAGCCGATTAACCCATAAGCAAAAGCTTATAGGTTAATACTATAGACTACACACAGTTTCCTCCCCCTACCCTTGCCAGTAAATTTTTTAGCAGCCTGGCTCAGTTCTGGCTTGCGCTGGGTCCAGAACTTACCCCTGCTGCGGCTCTGCATTTAAAGTGTATTAGGAGCTAGACAGGCAAGCAGCCTGGCTCAGATTGCACTGGGTCAGGGAGCTCAGGCCCTCCCTTAGACAAGGGCCACTGCCAACTCACGCTGCTGCCTCTTTATCAGAGGCAGCAGCACTGGTGACAGGCACAAGGGGAGCTGTTTTTTAAACTGGCTCCTCTCATGGACCAGCTGCCGCCTGGCACCATGTGCTGCTACTTCTGATACAGTGGCTGTCAGCTCTGCTTCCAGGTACTATAGAATAGTCAACTAACAGATAAGAATTAGTGAGATTACTCGACTATTCAATTAACTGATATTTAACATCTTTAATGTGAACACATTATTTGCCTTATACAAGAAGTCTCATTGATTTCTATATGACAATTTCAGTTAGTGATGTGACTTGGCTTATACATTTAGTTCTCACTGTACTATTCATTTAGTTTAATATTTTTGTCTTATTTTTAGGGCTGTCAGGCAATTAAAAAAATTAATCAATTAATCGTACAATTAAAACAATTAATGGCAATCGCACAATTAATCACGTGCACTTCCCCTTTGAAACACTGCAGCGGTGTTTCAAAGGGGGCAGCGCTGAGGAAACCCGGAATCAGCTGGAGTGCTCAGCTGACCTCAGGCTAAGTTCAGTTGCCCCTCAGAAAGGCTCCCCTGACATTTCTAAGGGGCAGCACTATAGGAGCTCAAGATCAGCTGGAGTCCCCAGCTGACCCTGGCTCCATTACTCACTCTCCCTTGGAAAAGCTGCCCTGGTGTTTCCAAGGGGCAGCACCGTGGGAGCCTGGGGGCAGCTGGAGTCCCCAATGTTAGGAGACTGGGATCAGCAGGAGTGCCCAGCTGATACCCAGCTCTGCATTGCACTGCCCCTTTGAAGCACCAGGGCGGCACTTCAGATGGGCAGTGCAGCATTAACGCATTATCCTGCCCTGTGTTAATTGCAGGCATTAACGCAGATCAATTCACAGCCTAATTATTTTATATGAAGATGGTATTCTCTCCTTTTCAGCTACAAAGACCAACCCCTTCTCATATGTAACCACATAACATCTCTGTAATAACTACAATTACTTATCTTGCAATGTGATATTAAGATGGACTATAATTTTGAGAATGAGCTATAAAATGAACTGTTCATGCAGTTTCATAAATAATGAAGTGCTGGAACAAATAAATGCTTTTCACTTTTGGTTCAATACATTATTATACTATTTTATTTCAACAGTAAGGCTCTGATGCAGCACACATCTATGTTATATCCCATTGACTACAGTAGGGACTCCTGTGTGGGAACCAAAACATGCACAAATATTGCAGTTTCAGGATCTCTGAATTAACTTATTGTTTTGCTTACTTAGCCCTATTAGTGTATTTCATTTTAATAATAATCTAAGTGTTTTTTATCCACATTGATTATATTAAGAGTTGACCATATGCATGTTACTGGACAAAATAAAGATAATCCCACCTTCAGAGAAATTACAGTACACATTGTATCTTTCCTTGACATTATGGTTAGTTAATAAATTTTAAAACAAATTTGAATTTATTATTTGGATTGTGGTCATTCCAGGAAACCCATTCATGAATAGGCCCCCTGTGCAAGGTAAACATATAGCAAAAAAAAGAAGTGTTTCTGCCCCCCTACTATCCTCCGCAGGGCTCTGACACTCCAGAATATTTATTTCCCCACTATGTAGCTGTCTGCATACTTATCTTTGTTTTTCATTTCCAGGCAAAGTTTTCCTGTTCTGGCTAATGCTAAGAGACGCTGTTTCTCAGCACTAAGTAATCCGTGGAACAAAGTGGTAGGATTTGGTTTTGGAGTAGCCCTCTGTGCAGTCCCTATTGTACAGGTAAATGTTGAAATGAATGTACACTACAAGTACTTTGATATTCTAAGGTATTTGGTGGAATAGAGTGTTTGTGGCAAATGGATCAATTTATTGTATTATAACATCCTCCCAGTTATTATATGATGTTAGTAGTATACATATTGCAGCATGGCTTGTGAACTTTCTGGGGCACAGTTGACCATCCAGAAATTCTCTATCTTAGCTGACTTTCAAAAGACTCACTCATTTGAAGTGATTCTGCTCTAAGGAATATGACTTAAATCTTGAAGGTCAGTGGAAATGTAAAATAGATTTAATCCAATTTATCAAATAACTAAAATACTATTAAAATAAAATTATTGAAAATTATTTGCCTTTACCTTTTGCCATGGCACATCGTTCAGGAATCCCATTATTACCAGAACAAACCCTGCAATTCCTGGGAGAAAAGGTATTTGTGGTGCTGGAATGGAATTCACAGTTTCAGCTCTTCTTGCACTTTGTATAGTGTCCATGAACCTTTACAATCCAGTGACTACCGTCAGATAGGAAACATAATGGTAATATCAGTGGTTGCAGGTGTGTATATATAAACTAGATTTACCTCCTGTTACTCAGGTTTTTAACTCAATTGATTTTTGTATTTTGGAAAAAAATTAAAATGTCCATGCTTCATTCAAATCATTGCTCTGGGGTGGGGTTAGGGATCAGAGGTTCAGTATGTAGGCTGTCCCTGGGAAAGAGAACTACTCCAGTCCTCTCTCTAGGGATGTTAGATAGTGATTAATTGAATAATCATGTAACTGTATCAAATTTTAACAGTTTCACACTGATTCGATAATCCCCGGGGGTGGGACCAGCAGTCAGTGCACTCCCAGCCCCACTCCCAGGGAGCCCCGTGTAATCCCGTACTCCCGCCTCTGTCCGTGGGGGATCTGAGCTCCCTGCAGACAAGAACTGCATCGACCCATGGAAAAGCTTTTGTCTGCAGTGAGTTTGGGCCTGTGGCAGATAGAGATTGCTTTGAGGCTGGTAGAGGCAGCAGCATGGGAGGAGGGCAAGGTGGCTCCCCCCTTGCTGCCTTTATAGGAGCTGCATGTGCAGAGAGCCAGCTTCCCCTGCATGTTGGCTCCCACTTGCTCCTCTCCATCACTACCACACTGCTGCTACTTATAGAGAGGAAGCAGTGCAGGGGGGGCAAGTAGCTTGCATTGTTTGAAAGTCGGCTTCCTGCATGTACTGGCTCCCGCTACTTCCCCCTCCCTGCTGCCTCTGTATCAGAGGTAGCAGCCTGGGGTGTAGGTGAGGCAGGCAGCTCCGCAGATCCAGCCAGTGCTTGTAAGGAGTTAGCTTAAAAGTCAACTTCCCATGGGCACTGGCTCCCACCTCCCTCCTTCCTCTATCCCCTTGCTGCCTCCGATATATGGTGGGGGAGGGAGTACATGTAGTCAATAAGATTAACCGATAAACCTAGGTTGTGTAGTCAACTACATGTTGCCATCCCAATCTTTTGCACTGCAGCAACTTGGGCTGGATGGGAATCTCCTTTTTCTTACAGTAGAGGACATTTTTATCATTGGAAGTTGTCTGTCTTTGGAAACCAGGGCAAAGTGTGTGTATATCTATTGTTTTTCAGAAACACGAGCCCACTTCTCTCAGTAATGAAGCCTTGATTAGAAGGGCAGTTTCTCTGGTAACAGACAGTACTTGTACACTTCTCTCTCAAACAACATATGCATTAATCGAAGCATTAACAGAGTATACAAAGGTAAGATGAGTGAATGCCTGGATTAGTACAGAGTTAACACTGCAACTGCTGGAGTATTTAAATTTCTCACAAAGACAGACTAAGTGCACCTATTAAATCAGTTCTTTAACCTAAAATGCACTTTGACTTCACAAATCGATGTGCTAAGGATGTAGAACAGTGATTGCCAGCCTGTGGTCTGTGCACCAGTTTGACCCTCTTTTCCACGTGCTGCTCACACACTGGAGCCCTGCACTTCCTACTCTACACCTTCCTCCCAGCACTTCCGGAACTCCATGTATCTCGTGATTCATACTGTCTCCAACTCCTCCTCTTTCCTCCCAGAGGTTGAACAGCTGATTCATGGTGATCAAACTCTGGGAGGAGAGGGAAGAAGTGGGGATGGAGTATGAATCAGCAGATTCATGGTACTCCTAAAGTGCTAGGAGAGGGAAAGGAATAAGTAAGTGCGCAACTGCAGAGCTCCAGTGTGTGAGAGGGGCAAGGGGGATGAAGAGGTGAGCAGGCTGCAGGTGTAATCCTATTGGGCCACAGGTTGCCCACCACTGATCACACAGTCCATTCACTGGTCCTGGTTGCCCATCACTGATGTAGAGATTCTGAGGTAGCAGTTCAGATTGAATTGGTACCTCACACGTCAAAATAAGTGAACTCATGCACAGGTCTTTGGTGGACAATACAGGAGGTGTTGCTGCTGCTTTGGAGTGTTTGTGATCCAAGGCATGAGTAATTTTTAAAGAGCTGTGAAGCTCTGTTCAAGAGAATCCCAGGTATGAACTAATTCCTGAAATTTTGGCCCTTATAAGAAGCGAGGCCAAACTTTGCAAATAGTAGCTAATACATAGTTTTTTCTGTCTAAGTCAGATAACTAGCATTCTGTAAAAACACATCACTTGCCTTCCCAGCTTCTTTTCTAGGCAAGAAAAAAAAATACATAGATTCCATCAAAAACACATTTTCCAATCCAGCTAACTGATTTTGAAACTCTGCAATGTCTTTAAATGCCAGATTAAAGCAGAATAGTTATCCATATTAGCTTCCTTAACTTCCAGTTAATATTTCCTTTAATATATCATTATAGACAAGTAAATGTAAAAATTGAAGATTTGCCTGGGGATAAATTCTCTGTGTGCATGTATGTCATTCCTGCCAAGATTTTCAGTTAAAAAAACCCAAGCAGTTAGCCATTTCATTACAAAATTTAGAACTGCCAAGTTTTTGAGTATATTACTACTGCCTTGCCCTCTGCTATATTTATTCAAAATCTTGGTGTATTATAGGTTCATACTTCAAAAAGAGGGTCTCTTCTAGTATAAGTGCTAATAGACTTGTTTTTTTCAGCACAGAGTTCTGTCTGTGCTATTAAGTTCCTAGTATATCATAAAATGTGTTTTACAGTATTATAACTGTTAATTGTATTTAATTACAATGAAATATTTCCATTTTCAAATTAATGTGATGAACACTTAATACAATATTAGTCAAAGCAAAGGTCAAAAAGTGCTTCTAAGACTTGCCATATAATTTCCTCACTAAATATTATAGAAGATTTTTTATAGGGAAAAGTGTTAGATTTCCCTCCCCACACCTTCTATTTTCTATATAACTGTTAATTGTATTTAATTACAATGAAATATTTCCATTTTCAAATTAATGTGATGAACACTTAATACAATATTAGTCAAAGCAAAGGTCAAAAAGTGCTTCTAAGACTTGCCATATAATTTCCTCACTAAATATTATAGAAGATTTTTTATAGGGAAAAGTGTTAGATTTCCCTCCCCACACCTTCTATTTTCTATCTACTATGTAACTAATACTGTGAGAGCATCAGCAGCTGAAAAATTAGTTAGAAAATACGCACGTGCTACTTAAAGTATTTATTACGAAGTATCAGAGGGGTAGCCGTGTTAGTCTGAATCTGCAAAAGCAATGAGGAGTCCTGTGGCACCTTATAGACTAACTGAAGTGTAGGAGCATAAGCTTTCGTGGGCAAAGACCCACTTCTGACGAAGTGGGTCTTTGCCCACGAAAGCTTATGCTCCTACACTTCAGTTAGTCTATAAGGTGCCACAGGACTCCTTGTCGCTATTACGAAGTAGTTATGTTAGACTTACAATCTTTTGCAGGCAGTTTACACACTGGTGTCTCTCTACCGGCAGTATACAAATCTTCTTCAAAAAATGAATTCCAAAGAGATGGATGCAGTATGGCAGGTGATCATAGGAGCAAGAGTGGAGGTAAAGAACTAACTCACTTCTGCAGTTATCGGTTTGTTCCCTTTTTGTTTAACATTTTTCTGTATCTCTTGCAAAAAGTGGGTTCAGATAATGTTATAATTGTGTTACACAACATTTTATTTTTAATTATAGATGACTACAAAGCAGCAAGAATTCCTGAAGTTAGAATCCAGTTGGATGACTGCTTTACATCTTTCAGAGATGGCAGCAGAAGCTGCATATCAATCAGGTATTTCTGTAATATGTTCCTCAGTATCAGCTGGAATTTGAAGTTAAAGTGGGTTCAGATAATGTTATAATTGTGTTACACAACATTTTATTTTTAATTATAGATGACTACAAAGCAGCAAGAATTCCTGAAGTTAGAATCCAGTTGGATGACTGCTTTACATCTTTCAGAGATGGCAGCAGAAGCTGCATATCAATCAGGTATTTCTGTAATATGTTCCTCAGTATCAGCTGGAATTTGAAGTTTTTAAGCAAACTTTCCCTCTGGACACAGGCAGCATTTATTATTAAAAAGATACAGGCAATATTGACTCGAACTCTGAATATGCTTGGTTGGCTGACTCACGTGGTCTGATTTTCATAGATGCTGTCTAGACTGGCCAGTTTTTCCGGAAAATCAGCCACTTTTCCAGAAAAACTTGCCAGCTGCTTACACTGGCCTCTTGAATTTCTGCAAAAGCACTGACGATCTCATGTAAGATTGTCAGTGTTCTTGTGGAAATACTGTGCTGCTCCCGTTTGGGCAAAAGTCCCTTTTGCGCAAAGCTTTTGCGCAAAAGCGCCAGTGTAGACAGCTCAGATCTGTTTTCCGCAAAAAAGCCCCGATGGCAAAAATTGGCTTTTGCGGAAAAGCATCCGTGCCAATCTAGACGCTCTGTTCCGAAAATGCTTTTAACAGAAAACTTTTCAGTTAAAAGCATTTACGGAAAATCATGCCAGTCTAGACAAAGCCTGTGTGTTCCACAAAGGACACAGCTGCTGAGTTCCTCTGTATTTTCAGTTTAAGTGCTTCTGAAAATCAGGCCCCAAATTTAATACAATCATCTCATTGTTTAAATTAAAATGAAGATATTATTTCACGTAAGGAAATAAAAACTATACTAAAATTTGACTACAATATTCTTGGAAGCTAATGAAATAGAGGACTAGGTTGTTCAAGATTTGGGACTAATAGTCACTCACTCAGAATGAAAGTTCAAAGCAAATAGACCGCTAGTGAATGAAAATTGCCACCATGTGATGGTTGTTCAGTCTTGGTTTGTCTTTCAGAGACCATGTGGTCACATCACATAAAAGTCACAAATTATTTTTGCACTAATTGGCAACACAACTTTGTCGTCAGAAATGTTCTGAGAAAAAAAAAATCTCTTTTCATCATAGGACATAGTAAATATTTGTAGACTATCTTGAGTTGGTAGTGAATAGTAAAGAGTAACTATTTTTGAAAACTAATTTGTTTAGAGCATGAGTAGTTTAGTAAAATGTAATTATCAATTTAATCCCTATCTTAATTGATGTTATTTTATCTTATGGGTTGTTTCTGAATTTTTTACTTAAATTACTGTGTTTTTTAGGTGCAGATCAAGCTTCAGTGGCAGCCCACAACCACATTCAGCTGGTAAAAACACAGGTACAAGCAAGTTAGCTGAAGCTCAGACTGAAGAACTCATTAATACAAAAGCTGAGGAATCATCACATCCCTGTAGTATTGCTGAAGCCATAGAGGAAGTTGATGAGTCTTATCTTCGTGAAGACTGAAGGGGGTAAAGGGGGAAACCTGCTAATATAAAATATTCAGAAGGTAATAGCATACCACTAACTATAAAGGCCTTGAGTTTCCCACATTTAAAAGAAAAAAAAAAAGTCTTGGATAAGGAAAATGCACTGAAGATGACTCACCTGTCTGCTGATAATTGGTGGTAGTGGGCAGTAATTCTCTTCCCATGAATTTGCTAGACCAAACCACCAGCCCGATCCAGGTGTTTGAACATCTTTTTTTTTTAAGTTTCCATTATTATAATATGCATTGCTAGTAAAGTTTTGTTGAAGTACACAACTATGCAAATGTGAAATTAGCTGTTAAAGATACTTTGAGTGTTTGAGTCTGGTGCCATGAAGCTTTAATTCAGATGATATAATAAACCCTTGTGAATTCCCAATGTCTGAAATTAGTTGTAGATTGCAAACAAAGAGGGACATTTAAAAATAATTTTCTAGTCTGTGAAGCAATTTAATCTTAGTGGGTCTTATACTTCCAATTGATCAATATAATTACATTTCCTTATCAGAGTTTGCTTAACAATGTTGACTTTGTGTGCTGTTTTCTAATTATTTGGACTGACAATTCATAATGGAAATCTTACTGTTTTATTAAACTACTGCAGTCTGATAGCATCAAAAGGAGACAATAGAGTTGCTAAAAACCTTGGAAATCTGTAGAGTCTAAAACTTTAGTACTGGTGATCTTTCATATAGCAAGCCTCTCCTTCCCTTACAAATTAAAAACACGCCTATAAAATATCTAGGATATTATAAATGCTGGAGGCACAGCAGAGTTTGGGGTGGAGATGGACTGCTTTTGACAACCCCTATGTAGTCACCTTGTGAAAACCTGTTGTCTGCACTCAGTGATAACTGTAATATAGAGTATGACAGTTGTGTGTATGCAGACTTGCTTGTAACCTAATTAGGAACACAACCAACCAGCAAGATGCAATCTATTGTAGTGAAAGAAGGATTGATGCTATGCCACACTACATTTAAAAAGACTATATGCATCAGTAGGGAACAAAATGTTGCAAAGGCAGAGACACCACAAATAACTGCAAATTCTATTTGATCATAGAACACAGTTGTCCAAATGTGAACTTTTAAGCAGGGTAGCTGCAGTCTGCCCCAAATAGCAGAAAAAATTAGAATCTTCCTTTATTGTCAAATGAAAGTGTTTTGCTGCATGCTGTGATTGCAAACCACATTTCCACAGTTCATTTATTTCCCTGTGTCATTTAAGTAGTTTAAATTGAACTACATCTATGGTTGTATTTCCCCAAATTCACATATTGTAGTTTTACCTTTACCATCTATTGTAGAACAGTAGCTGCTAGATTTTTAGGAAGAGCTTTCTTTAATATTTGTATAATGCTGAATTACAAGACAGCTGAGTATTATTAGTATATATCTAGCCAAAAGGTATAGCTTAGGGAAATAAATAACTGTGTTTTAGTAATTACATTTGTTCAAACTGCCATTTTTTACATGATCATAGTCCATGTTAAAGTTCCCTCCTGAGATTTCTTGATATTCCTGTGTTTATTGGCTCTGTGTGCTATTTGCATAATTGCATTGCTAGTTATGCCAAAAACAACTCTGTAGGCTGGAAGATTTCCAGCCCAATTCCACCATTCACTAGAAAATTTCTTCCTGAACTTTGTTTCCATTTTATCAACAGGATTGTATCCCAGTAGCTCTGTGCAACTGCAGGAAAGGTGGTTAGATTAGTCTGCACTCTTGTGTAGTTTAATCATGGGTAATTAAGAAATAAACTAATTATTTGCTGATAATTGCTTTGTTGTAATCAAAGTGTTTGGTTACCAATGCGCGCACACGGCAAACTCAATGAAAAGATGCAATGGAAAACATTTTTACCTCCCCTACCCAGAAGAAATCTTACAGATGGAGAATGAATACTTTTGTAACACTAAGAGGTTAAGTTACAACCTGTGTTTGCCAATAAATCGCCTTCAAAAGCCACCAAAAATGAACATGTTGGTGATAGTTATAGCAGCCTTGAAAGATTCCTGAATACAGTTCTAAAATGGAGGATTTTAGATGAGGGGGAATTATTTGCTTTTGTACTGTTGGCACGCAAGGAACAGGTCCACACAAGGTCAGCCTCTCCCTCACTGTACTTGCATGAGCTAAGATGAACAGCTGCAGATTAGCTGGTGGAAAGTTCTCGGGCCAAGCCATTTATAGTTATCATCCAATATTGCAAATAATCAGCATTGTTCCATACATGTGCAATTGGTACAGTCCTCTTATGCTTGCCAAAGTACTATTGTAGCTCAAGTGCATGCTTGTGTGGTAAAGAATATCAAGAAACAATTAGTTCTATTTATGTAGTACCCTGGAAAGGAGAACAACCACCTTTTTCTTTAAGTCAGGCTTCCCACCCAAACCAACTTGTTTCCTTCTCCATAGTGGTCACAGCTGTAATCGCTGTTGAAACAGCAGACATCCACTTCTGAGGGCAGAGCAAAGTTGAAAAGGTAATTTTTTTCAACTTGATATTGTTATATTAGCCCATGTTGAGAGAGTGATAAAGCTGTGCTAAAAGTAAGAGCTATACCTTCCTCATGAAACCGTGGTAGGCAGCTTAAGACAAGACATCTTGCTTGTTACTGACAATAATCAATATCTTTGCACATGTAAATTCCGCCCTTTAACTTGTGTAAATTTGTCTACTTTGCCACTGGAGAAAGGCATGTTAGAAATCTTAGTTAAACATGAATAGAAGATAAGCCCCTTTCAGATTGTATTCTTTGTGATCCACATGGAAATAATAGGAATTAGTGTGGCTGGACTTTGATCTCATCTTTATTTTTGCAAATAGGTGTTTGCATTCAGAGCTCTTAAACTAAACTGATCATATATGCTGGAGCTTTTCACTGAATCAAAGTTTTTTTTCAGTCCTACCTACTGATGGCAGATTATAACCACATGCTTAAATTAGTTTGTGCAGTGCTTGGAGAGGCACACTAAACATTTCTTACAGTATCCCACCAATTTTGTATCTGGCATTGTGTAGGGTAATGATGATGAAAGTGGTATTCCATAAAAGGTACCAACCCTCATCCAAAATAGCAGCTTTAAAGTACACGCAACTGTCTTACATTCCTCTCTGAAAATGGATGAAAAGTGCCCACCCAAGATCAGTGTCCAGTGAACAAGCTTCTCCTAGCATTTCTAAAAATCTAAGCTTTTCTACTCCACCATATGCCTTGGTTATAAACAGTAATATAGAAACATTTTTCACTTCAGACAGACACCTTCCTAATCTTTTTATACCTAAATGGAAAAGTGGAAGGGTACAGTATCCTAAAAAAGTTTAGGTAAAGATGAACCCAAATTATGGGCTCATCTCTTACTGGCAGTTCTGCTTTCATACATTCGTTTTCAACCAGTTGTCTAGGTCTGAGTTTCTTCCTAGAAGATTACTCAAGGGCTTATTACATGGCAGAGACGACTACAGCAACAGTGAACAAGCATTTGTCAGACAACAGTGTAAAATGGAATAGTACAACAGTGTTGCAATACCTAGTACCTTCAGACAACCACAACCCTAAGTAAAATGGTGAGACCCTCCAAGACCAAAAGGGAACTGACAAAGATATCAGAAGTAATGAAAAAGGCCACTGCCCAAACAGAGTAAACACTAATAAAAGCAAGCAGGGGAGTGTCAGTGAAGGTGTAATACACTAGCAAATGGGAACCCGCATCATAAGAATCCATTGATTTATAAGTTTAAACAGTGGTGTCACCAAACAAAATATGTTGGATGTTAACAGCTGCTCAGAGCAGGTACAGCAGGCCACCACCAGAGTTAACGGGCAACAATGGGTTAACGGAGAAGTTTCACACTTACCAGTAAGCTGGTTAACATCCCTATTTAAAAAGACCAAAAAGCATCAAACTGTCCTTTCTAGTCTTGTGTAAGGATGTAACTTACCCTCTCCATCTCTGCAGAGGATCTCAAAGCACTTCACAAATATTAATGAAGGACCAGGTCACATGGCAGTATTGTCCCCTCCCTTTGCAGATGGAGAAAGCAACTTTGCCAAGGTCATGTAACAATCACATTAAAACTCAGAGGTCTCTCCTCCAAAAGCAAACACTTTACTACCATTTCCAGGCCGCCTCTCCTCACTAGCAACCCATCAGTTCAAGGATGAATTATTGTATTTGTGAAGTGACCTGAAGTTGAAAAGCTCCCTATTAGCATCAAAGAGGATAGGTCTTATTAAGCTTTACTCAAGGAACTGACTCAGACAACACCAGATGACGAAGAACTTGTGTAGCCGTTTCTCACCTTCAACCACTAGGTCATTAAGGAAATGTTATTTCACCAGACATGCAGTGCAGCACTAACTCATGAAAAGGAAGCAAGTCCCATAATCCACAAAGCTATACAGATACATTGCAGCTGTATGAGCTTTGATGGAGGTTGCTCTAAGCTAACTCTGGGTTTCCTTTTTAATATTCTCATCAAACTTGTACTTCCAGGACAGCAAGAATACTCTTAATATAAACACTTGCAAAACTGTATTTATTTATACTGCTGTTAAAAAAACCAATGTTATTACAGTGATTAATAGCAATTTGGGAGAAGAAATGATCCATATTTTTGTGCAGAAATTCCAGTGTAAATAAGCTAACAAGTGCAGATAAAATCCAAAGAGCAAGAGCTGGTTAGAAGTCAGTGAGATTAGAACTAAGTACTTTGGTGCATAATGGCTGTGAGAAGAACAGACAACTGAAAAGTTTCTAGACCATTTTCTCTGTGTTCTTCCTGCTATTAAGTAAATTGAGTGCTGGTGTAGTCTGCTGTGTTGCTAGCCCTAGACAGCAAAGTCCGTTGAGATGGATAGTCCTAGCAGCTTATGTGTGTCCATGCTGTTCCTCTTTGTACCTCAGCTTTGATTTCAAGCATTAAGAGGCAAGTTCATGATCTACCACCTGTTTAGTTACTGGCCTTCCTACTCAAGACTGCTAGTAAGGTTGGCAATTGTGATCTGGACACTTATGTTCAAAAGCCATCACAACTGGCACTAAGACCACGACTTCACTTTGCACACTACCGAACAGCCCTTCAGAACGACCCATGCAAACTGAATTCAAATCAGTGATCTAGAGAGGAGGAGAGATTCCAATCACAATATCAAGTCCCTGAGCTATCTATCCCCTCTTCCCCCACATCTTTTTAGTTTAACCTTGTGATACTTCAGAAACCCATCAATATATTTTCATAGTCTGATTACTGAACATTACCCGAATGTAAAACTACAGTGTTAATAAAAATGTAACTTCATTTTGTTTTTGTTTTTTTAATGTCAGTTTAAACACCCTGGAGTAACCACTGTCGTCATATTCTGTTTCCACTTAGCATCAGCACTCTAGTTTTCAGACAGTTCTGTAGTTGTGAGTTACTGATACAGCACACCTAATATGGTTATCCTTTACCAGCGTCCACATGATCCACATCTCAGTGGGATTCAGCTTGTGCACTATCATCAATTCCTTGTAAAGACATGGATCAAATGGATTAAAAGGCCTCTGGATTCCAAAGGTCTTAAAGCCAGCATGGTTCAGTGGGGTCACTGCCATCTTTGCCAGACACATTCCTACAAAGACGTCGTCTATTGGGAAGAGTTCGGTGTCCTCAGCAGTGCTCTGGAGCCGCTGCACTGTCATTCTGGACATCACATAGCCACCCCCACCTGCATAGAGGGGATAGTAGGGCTCTCTGTACATTGACTCTGGAATGAAATATTTGACTTTGGTGTTTCTTATAGGACGGGCCTGGCTGATCACATCCCCAACAAAGAGATCCTCCTCAGGGTTGAGTTCCTTGAGGAATTCAACAATATTGTAGGGGTTAACAAAAACGTCGTCATCGCCCTTCAGTACAAACTTGGCATGGGGACAGTCCACCATGAACCACCGGAGGAAGTGCAGCTCCTTCAGCGTCAAGTTGAAGAAGTTGTCTGTGAAATCCCACTGGACAATGTCATCAAACTCTTGGCTCTCATAAGCCAGCAGCTGGTGCAGGGGTTGAGCCTGGACTTTGACCTCTGAGCGCCCACCCATGGCCACTTCCTTCCCCCATGTGTTCCTGATAGCAACCCGACGGTCTATGTTGATTGGGGGTGACTTGATTGCCAGCAGGAGGAATGTTTCCTCACTGCATCTTGTGGGCTTCAGCAGGGTTGAAAAGTTCCTGCAGTGTTTGTACATTAAGAAGAGTCGGTGAAGCTCTGGGAGTGCAAGAGAAGAATTGGCAAGTTTTAGGTCTGGCAAACATTTGCTGGGTTCAATCTGTTCTGGGACCCACAATGTATGGCTGGGATTGGGTACAGCTATCTTCCTGGCTGCTGGAGAGACAGCCAACTTAGTCTCTTTCTGTATATACATAAAGAATGCAATCAGCGTGACTGAGATGGTATATAGTGCAACCAGTCGTATCCGGAGATACATTGCAAGCAGTGGAGCAGAAGCCAATCCCTGCACAGTTAAAAGAATACACACAACATTAATTAAAGGAGCACTTAGTGTTCTGGCCTCAATGCTAAAGAGACTAAAGGCCAGATTTGCAGAGCTATTTAGGTACCTAAAGATGCAGATATCTAGTGGAATATACAAAAGGACCTATGCAGTTTGGACTCCTAATTCCCATCCCACTTCAGTAATAAAATTCCTTATTGAACCGAATGGGATCAGGAGTTGGCCCATTACTCCACTTAAACAAGAAAGGACATAGGTTTGTCTCTGCCCAGTCCAGAGTACTGGCTATCAGGGCTACCCACAGGACTCCTTTGAGAGCTGCTAAAATGTTCAGATTGAGGGTGGAGGAGGGGAACAGACTCCCCTGTGAGCTTGTGCAGTGAATCACTGCTCAATTTGGGTCCTGCAAAGTGCAGCCTGTTCTCAATTTCCATCATCTCTTCTAGGAAAAGGAGGGTGCTCAGCCCAAGATCAGCACAGCAAATCAATATGCTCTTGGGCAGTGCCCAGGTGCACAATATGTATTCTGAGCAGGCCTCAAGAAACAGAGAGAAAACCATGGCACAGGCCAAGAGCTGCAGCTCACACCAGGCTTGTGCAAGGGCAGAACTAGCTGATGTAAACTATTCAGATTGCTCTTCCTGTCAGAGTCATAATGCAAGTAGGGATTTATTGTGTTGGACTGTTTTAGGAACATTGGGGGCAATACGGAAGTTCCAGCAGAGATGCCTGCATAGCATGGTAACTTAGTTTGAGGGCCTACCTGGGAGATCAGATGGTAGGTAAGTCTTTGGGCTTTCTACCCCAGTTTTGTTGCATATTGTTTGCAAAGTCAATACTACCAGGTGCCTTCGTATCTGCCAAGTTAGTCTAATCCAGCCATTTGTTTGGCCAGCTGACTCTTATCCATCTCTTAAATTTAGTTTCACAAGGGGTTCCAGACACAAAAACCTAGAATTCCATTTCTGAGAGAGTGCAATAGCTTTTTTCCAGAGACCTCATGACTGTCAGCTGCAGCAGCCACTGCTGCATAACCTATAAATCAGTTTTTAAATGACAGCCTTTAAAAATCCTGATATTGGAGCAGAATTCTGTCCTTTCAGCTACCAAGCTTGCATACTCTAAAATATGAATCTAAGTGAACAGGGAGTCTGAAATGCAACTCTAAAGTTCTGTTGTTATTAATAAGATCTCTCGGGTAAGAGCCCACAGCAAGGTTATATAAAAAAAGTCATACAACAAATGGGTTTCACTTTTACGGGCCCCTCCTTCATGTCAGCATCTTTGTGCTACAGCTGAGATCAAAAGCTACATCTCACGACTCCTACTCTTGTGTTTTAACCAAGAACTTTTTTTCTTTTTAGCTCATTTCTGTATCACACAATACAGGTTTTTTCAGTCGCCCAACTCCAATTCTGCCACAGAGTTCCAACAGTTCATTAAAAGGCAGAAGGAATTATTAACTGAAATGTTCCCTTCACCAAATGTTCCCAGTTAGAATTTTGAAGTGTGGGAGAGGCAGACTGGTTCTTGTTCTGGCAATGAAATGCACTATTCAGTAGAAAGGCATCTGGTGCAGAATCCAACATCAGCGACATTACGGGGATCCTGACTTTGCAGGCGAAGACACACCTTTAAAAAAAAACCAATTAGGGAACTGAAAGAGGCAGAAGCTGCTCCAACTGCTATGTTCCCAAAGTGTTTTAAGTTTATATGTTTAACTGTTAATAATACAGCAACAGCCAGGCTTAAATGCTGCCTTACAAAACAGTCTCAGAGAGGTAGCGGTGTTAGTCTGTAACTTTAAAAAATTAAAGGAGTGACCCTGTAGCACCTAATTTTGTTAGTCTCTAAGGTACCAGAGGACCACTTTAAAAACAAAACAAAACAGTGTTTATAGTTAGTCATTTATTTCGTATTTAAATTTAGGATGGAATGTATTATCCCATGATCCAAAGTCCACACCCATATTATGGCCAACACTTTCTGGGTACACTAGAAGAAGGAACTTCAGGGAGGTTAAGATTTAAAATATATGACCCAATCATAAAGTGGCCTGTTATCCAGGGGCTAATTTTCAGATGATGGCTCTTCTGTAAGTAAGCAAGTTTTTCAATGATCCATCATGCATGAGAAATCCAGCACTAGTTGCAACATTTGATAGGTATCTAGCATCCAGTCAACAGAAAATGAACTTTTTGCTGTAGTGGGCAAACTGGATCATTTATGCAACTCCCAACCCTAATACATTCTGTCACTCTGAACCCACTGACTTTATTTGCAGTTGCCTTGTCACTTGTACTGCTCAGTCCACCTGACAATAACTTAAGTAAATCAGAAGTCTGTTCTTTTACCCCCTGTTCCAATTAATTAAGTCCTTAGGAGCTATTAAAGGACCCAGGCCTTCCCACCAAACGCACACACTTCATAACGCTGGGCTACAATTTAATTTAAAAGAGATAGCTTTAAAGTCTCCCGAGTCCCAGCAAAGCTTGAAAGTGCATTTTGCAACTCCCCTTCTAAAAGAAACATCTTCTGCTGAATCCTATCAGCCCAGGCAACGAACCACTTTAGGGCTCTTCCCGTTCCTCCCCTCTTACCTTTCCTGCAGCACCGACTTCTCTTCCAGGGGCTGCTGCTTTGCAAGGAGCGCTCCCAATGTGCCCTGAAAGGCCTCAATTTAAGCAGGGGCAGGTGGGCGTGGTGCATGGAGGCTCCTCTTTCTGCTGGGCGCTTGCATCTGAGTCTGGGAACCGCTCGCTCCCCACGATTCGCCCTGCTGCTGTTAAAGGCGACGCTTGCAGCCAATGGCGCTTTGGGTTGCTCTAAAACAT